CACATAATCATCTTTTACATGATGGATTTTCCACCTAATATTGAAAATGTAAAATAGTCAATCATTTAGTGAAAAAATTAGCTATATCAACATTTAACTGATGGAAAAACGAAATTGAAAATTGAAGTTGAAGGACATTTTTGGTACTTTTTAAAGTTTAAGAATTAATTGGTTCAAAAATAAAAGTTTAGGGACCAATTCAGATATTTAGTCTAAAAAAATATATTAGTCACATCAACATTATTATTCAATTAATCTTTAAATAGAAAAAGTTGAAAGTTGACATCTTTATTTAGAAACTAACAAAATTAACATCTTTATTTAGAAAAAAATTAAAAATTGATATCTTTATTTAAAAAAATTAAAAATTAACATCATTATTTAGAAACTGATAAAATTAATATTTTTAAATAAAAAAAGTGCAAAGTTAAAATTTTTATTTACACCTTTACTCTTGCTTTGTGGGCCAAAGTACGACGTGGAAGAATTCCAGGCTTCAATTTGCTGTGAAAAGCCCCCGTTTGCAATTTAACAGTCTATAGACAGTTTGTTAGCCCCAAAATAGACGGAGGGACGACATTATTATGTTTTTGAATAGTAGAGGGAGGACATATGAAGTTAAATAAAAGTAGAAGGAGGACATGAGGTGAATCAATAATATAAGGTTTAAATTGAACTTCTTTCAATGGTAGAGGGACGATAGTTGGCATTAACCTGTTTTTTTCAAGTAACGTGGGACTCATTTGAGTGGTATTGGCGCTTTGATTCACAAAAACATAACATGGCATAATATTTTTTTCATATCAGTACCTTTTTAACTCATTTTTTTTGTATCATCAAAGAAAATATAAAAAATATCAAGTGAATAGAGTTAATTAGTTAACTTAATGGAAGGATTAAAATTGTGTAAATTTTAGAGTTGAAGAATGAAACAATACAAAAAATAATTGAAAGACAAAAAAATATAACTCGATAAAATTAAAATACCAAAATTAACATTTAACCTTCTCATAAATCAAAAGGGTCCATGAAAATCACATTTGAGTGGTAATTATTATTTTATAAGCAAAACTTTTTAGCAGAGTGAGAGTCACATTCTTTCGTTTATATAATAAAAATACCCTTTACCTAAAAACAATATACGTCACTCTTTCTATTAAGTACAGCATCAATCTTGTTGACTGGAAGGAAACACATTTCACCAGGTATGATCTCTATCAAAGTCTATAGTAGACTAAATAGATTAACTAGACTGCAGTATAACTTTTCGATCAAAATATATATTAAAGAACTCCTAATGTGGAACAATTCATAGAAAAATGAGAAATTGAAAGAAACAGCTAGAAACATACTGGTTGTTAACTTCACGACGAAACTAGTTTCCTCCGGTCCAAATCCAAGGAATGCGTTGGAGTACTTCTCCTCCGGAATATCTCTTTTCCTCAAAAGCTTCATCCCGAAACACTCAGTGTAAAACCTAACAACACATAATTTGAAGACAAATATAAGAACAATCTACACTTCATCAGAACAGAAGCGCAGTTCTAGACAAACATACTTGATGGTGCGATCGAGATCGCCGACGCGATACACGACTTGAAGGAACCGGCGGTTGTCCTTCTTCGGCCATTCCAAGATCTCAAGATTAGCAGCCTCAGCCATGACTGAACGAGTCCGATTACCGCGCAAACAGAATCACCGAGTCGTCATCAAAGCGGGATAATCGTCAGAAAACAGCTCACAAACTCAAAGAAAACCAGAAAAATGAACTAAAATTTGAGGAATTGCACCCTAA